TAGTTTTTCCTTGGCCAGAACACTGTGGTCTTTCATTTAAAACACATTGCTATGCTGTAGTTCAGTATTCACATATAAATATAATTTACTTATAGGATGGCTAACTGGCTAATTTATGACTTACATGTAAGTCAGTAATGTGTTTTTTTTTTTTAAGTAGTAGCAGAGTAGTTCACTCTGTCCAATCAATCTAACCATCAGCATGTTCTGCCTCGGAGGTCTGTCAACAATAGAAAAACCAGGGTGTCGACAGAGAGAAATCACAGTCCTAGTCAATGAACCTGGAAGGGTGGGTATCAATCAGCAGTTTATTGAACAGCATGGCGTGAAAGAAGCCTTTCAAAAGAGTACCAGAACCACAGGAGAATTGATCTCCCCGGTCAAAACGTCAGATTTAAAACAGTTTGAAAGCACATTACAGATTGTGTCATTGTCATTTCAAGTTTTTCAAAGTTACACCTGCTCGTGTTTGGAAGACAGAAACGTAAACGGTCGGCCCTCTTGTCTCTCAATGTAGGATTTTAGAGGCCTCCTTTTGGGACGATCACTCACTGTAATCTTTACTAAAACTAAATTGTTATACCGATCTGAAATAAACAGATCTACAAAAACAGGTTGTCTTTGTGAGATTTGAATGTGCCTTTGCAGAGAAGTCAAACAACAATACAGAGCACAATAGCAGCCTGCGTGGCTTTTGATAAGGAAAAATAACAAGCATAGAATAATTTATAGAAACATGTTATCTAACCACCATGGACGTAGAATACAATCAGAACATTAAGTAAAAAAGATAGCTTGTACAGTTGATTATATCTCGTATTACAAGATTATATAAAGACAAAGCATCATCATCATTTTTGCCAGGCCTGTGGCGTTTTTCACATTCTTCGTTCTGTATTTTTTGGAGAGTTGAACAAAGTTTTGTCGCAGATGTTAGTGACTGTTATGTTACGTACGGGCGATGCATGTTGAACGTGACATGTGAGGCAACCACAAATGGTTGGGAACGTGGAAATAAACATAAAATACAAAAAAAATAATCCAAAGAATTTGTATTTGTAATAAATCTGGATGAAACACATTGAGATGTACATAATTTGTGTATTTGTGACTAGGGATGGGTACCGGTATCCGGTGCCATGATGGCACCGGTTCTGACATAAAC